AACCGATTAGCTCTTCAAGAGTTAAGGACTTTAGGTTCTTAGCCTCGATGATTGCCGTCTTCTTGGATTGCCATGATTTTAGAAGTGAGTAAACTAACTTCCTCACAAGCTTTTCGTTTGGAATGATCTCTCCATATGATTTGAGACCATTGACAATCTTTGAGAATCTATCCGTCATAGCTTTGATATCTTCATTTGGTTTCATCCTGAAATTTTCATAACTATGTGTTAGAAGACTAATTTTAGATTCTTTTACCTCGTCGGCGCCTTCATGAGTGACTTGAAGTTTATCCCATATTTCTTTGGCGGTTGTATAAGATGAAACTCTTCCATATTCATCTGGTCCAAGAGCATAAAATATGATATGGATGGCTTTGGAGTTGAGCTGGAACATTCTTGTCTCTCTTTCACTCCACAATCTTGGATGAGTGAGAGGCTTGATATATTCGTCTTCTACATCATTCCATACTCTCTTGTCACTTGCTTGAATGAAATACATCATCATATTCTTTCAATAGGCATATTTAGCTCCATTGAAGAAATGAGGCTTGTTGACGGGCATCGAATCGAGACCGGAGTCGACATTTGAAGTAGAGGTCATTGATGACTTGATAATCGATATAACTCTTCCCGAATCGAATCAAGAGGTGATTAAACCTTCAAATGAGTGAGACTATGATACCATTTGTTGAGTTAATCGATCGATGGAATTGGCCAAAAGGGGGTGAATTGGTAATTAAAATTTTGGTGGAAGCTTTTGCAGAAAATTGAAAAGATTTGCACAACGATTTAGAGTGGTTCGACTTTCTCAACCAAAGTCTATGTCCACTACCTTAGCTATCCACACTAAGGATTTTCCAATAAATTCACTAATTTGTTCTTTCTTTTGAGGCCAAAGAGGTAATCTTACAACTCCCTCAATAATATACCCCAATTCTTGAGAACACTCTTTCTCAAAGAGAATATTACAAATTTGCAAACTTACAAGGAAATCCTCACAAGGTAGATTGTTTGCACAATTCTAGAACAAAGAAAAGAACACTAAAAATGAATACAATTGAGTACAAGTAGCGTTCTTGAAAGCAAAATGAATATTGAATGAAAAATAGCTTGAAATGCTCAAACTTGAGGTTTGATGCTTTCTCTTTGATTCTCTCTTGATTCTTTTTCTTGTGTTTTCTTCTTTTTGATAAATGGCTTCTAAGCTTGTTTAAATACTCATTCAAATGATTTTGAACGTTGAGAATGATTAGTGGAGTCAATAGAGCCGTTTAAGTTTGAAAACAATTATTTAAATAAGTTGGGAGCGTCAGTGCATCGATGATACCCAAGGTGCATCGGTGCATCAAGTGTAAAATTTAAATATTTTAACCATTGGACCCTTAGTGCATCGGTGCACAAAGAGTGCATCGGTGCACAAAGAGTGCATTGATGCATAAAATGAATTCGATGTTTCAAAATAGTCTGAGTGCATCGATGCATCAAATACATTCAAAGTTTTTATAAAACTCTGAGTGCATCGATGCATAGTATGTGCATCGATGCATGAAATGCATTCGATCAATTTATTCTGTGGTGCATCGATGCATGGATTGGTGCATCGGTGCATCACTTTGAAAAATTGATTTTAGGCTTGATTTTGGTTCAAAATACTTAGTGAAAATTGTTTCAAAAATATATTAAGTATAAAACACAATTTTACACATTTAGTAAGGTTTGAAATTGATCTTTGAAGACTTGGAGTAATAATTTGATATTCGAGTAATTAAATCGAATATACTTAGAAAATCATTTGTAAAATATTAAAATTCATTTATACTTAATTTGTTATATCGAAACAAAATGTTTTCAACAAGATACTGATGAAAAATCAAACATATGGCACCAAAGGCTTGACCATATGAGCGAGAAAGGGATGAAGACATTTTTGTCAAAAGGGAAGCTGTCGGATCTAAAGAATATATATGTCGGACTAATCCTCATCTTTGGCAAACAAAAGAAAGTCAGTTTTGCAAAGATTGACAATACACCCAAGGCAGAAAAGTTAGAGTTGGCTCATACTGATGTATGGGGACCATCTCCAGTTCCATCTCTTGCAGGCTCACTATATTATGTCACCTTCATCGATGATTCTACAAGGAATGTGTGGGTTTATTTTCTAAAGAAGAAATCAAAAGTCTTTGATACCTTCAGAAAATGGAAGGCCATGGTGGAAAATGAGACTGGTTTGAAAGTCAAGCAGTTGAGGTTTGATAATGGAGAAGAGTACAGAAATAGTAGATTCAGAGATTTCTTTGTAAACAATGGGATCAAGATGGAGACAACAGTTCCCATGACACCGCTGCAGAATGGCGTAGCAGAGCGCATGAACAGAACTCTGAATGAACGTGCCAGAAGCATGAGGATACATGTCAGCTTGCCCAAATTGCTATGGGCTGAAACTATCAACACTGCAGCTTACCTGATCAACCATGGGCCCTCAGTTCCCTTAGATGGAGGAATACCAAAGGAAGTTTGGAGCAAGAAAGAAATAAACCTTTTACACTTAAGAGTGTTTGGTTGTATTTATTATGTACACATAAATTCTGCCGAAAGAAGTAAATCTGATGTCAAGTCCAACAAATGTGTCTTTGTTCGTTATGGTGGTGATGAGTTCGGTTACCAGTTTTGGGACTATGAAAATTGAAAGATCATCAGAAGCAGAGATGTCATTTTTAATGATAATGTGATGTACAAAGACAGATCAATAATAGAATCAAGTAACTCCAATACTGAAGCCGGAACAAAAGAATTTGTTGAGTTTGAGGAGATTTCTGGAAATGATGTTTAGATCAGTTCTGAAGCAGTTCAAGAAGAACCACACACACCAGAACTGAGACGCTTCTCTAAAATTCCTAAACCAACCCAACGTTATTCGCCTTCTTTGCACTACTTGTTGCTAACTGACAATGGTGAACCAGAGTGCTATGATGAAGCAATGCAGGTGGAAGATTCAATCAAGTGGGAGTCTTTCATGAAAGATGAGATGGACTCGCTTATGTCAATTCAGACGTGGGAATTAGTGAATTACCACTAGGCAAGAAAGCACTCCATAAAAAATGGGTTTACAGGATCAAAGAAGAGCACGATGGGAGCAAACGCTACAAAGCAAGATTGGTTGTCAAAGGCTTTCAGTAAAAAGAATGTATTGACTACAATGAAATTTTCTCCCCAGTAGTGAAACTATTTACAATTAAACTGATGTTGAAAATTGTAGCTGCAGAGAATCTACATCTTGAGCAGTTAGATGTGAAGACAACTTTCCTTCATGGTGATTTGGAGGAAGAAATCTATATGAGGCAGCCAGAAGGCTTCATAGAGGCAGACAAGAAAAACCTGGTATGCAGGTTGAAGAAGAGCTTGTATGGTTTAAAACAAGCTCCTAGACAGTGGTACAAGAAGTTCGATAGTTTCATGAGTAGTAGTGGTTTTACCAGATGCTAAGCAGATCATTGTTACTACATCAAGAAGTTCGACAACATCTTCATTATTTTATTGTTGTACGTTGACGACATGCTCGTTGCAGGCTCAGACATGTAAGAGATTATAAACTTGAAGGAAAAATTGTCGAAGCAGTTTGTAATGAAAGATATGAGCTCTGCAAAGCAGATTCTTGGGATGAGGATCAAGAGAGACACAAAGTCAGGGACTGATGTTATCACAGGCTAAGTACATCAACAAAGTACTCTCCAGGTTCAACATGCAAGATGCTAAACCAGTAAGTACACATTTAGGTGTTCATTTTAGACTCTCCAAAGAACAGTTACCAAAGATGGAGGAAGAACGTGCACACATGGTGAAGGTGTCGTATGCCTCAGCAATTGGAAGTTTGATGTATGCCATGGTTTGTACTAGACCAGATATTGCTCAAGCAGTGGGAGATGTTAGCAGGTATAAATAATCAGGCCAGGTACACTGGGAAGCAGTCAAATGGATCCTCAGATATCTGCAGGGTACCACAAACAAAGCACCTTGTTTCAAAGGTGGAGATACGATGCTGACAGGCTATGTATATGCTGACTTAGCCGAAAATGTTGACATCAGAAGAAGCACTACAGGGTATGTTTATACTTTAGGAGGTACCGCAGTGAGTTGGGTTTCTCGCCTACAGAAGATAGTTGTTCTCTCCACAACCGAAGTAGAATATGTCGCTGTTACGGAAGCTAGCAAGGAGATGGTTTGGCTCCAAAGTTTTTTGGAAGAGTTAGGCAAGAAACAAGAAAATAACGTCTTGTATTGCGATAGTCAAAGTGCTATCCATCTAGTAAAGAATCCGTCTTTTCATTCAAGGACAAAGCATATACAATTGTGATATCATTTTATCCGGTCTCTTCTGGAAGATGAGATTTTGAAACTTGAAAAGATTAGTGGAGCTCAAAATCCGGCAGACATGTTAACAAAGACAGTGACTACGGACAAACTGAAGTTGTGTTCAGCTTCAGTTGGCATGCTAGAGTAACAAGACTAGAAATGCTGCTGCATTGATAGAGGTGTGAAGATAGATTAAAATCAGTCTTCAAGTGGGAAATTGTTAAAAGTCAATAATGGATGCACCATTCGATGCATGGTTCAAAGTTTGGCACCGAATGGTGCATGGTTTCAAAGTTTGATAGATTTTTGTTGAAAATGGTAATGGGATAATTATAAATTTAGTCTCTATACTTTAGGGTATTTATAAGATTAGTCCTTAAGTTTCAGCTATAAATACCCTAACCCATTTAGCTTCAAAATCATCCCAAATCATTTCTTTCTCCCAATACTAGAGAGTTTTCTTGTGAGTTGTGAGTATTTTTTGTAAACACCTGTAAATTTTCTCTCTTTAGTAAAAGATCTGCAGTAGTCTGGAGACGTAGGCATAATTGGCCGAACTCTGTTATCAATTTTGGGTATTATTTTTTCGATTTTATTTCGCATTCTTACTATTCTGGTTATAGGAAAAGTACTCGTTTAATTTCCAACACTTGCAGCATAAATCGAACTCATTTGTGTGGTAATACATGCATCCCACATAACCTTCCATGGGTTCTTTGCATCTCTGGTAAAGATCTTTTCTTAAGCCAAGGTTTCCTATTATTAAATCTATGTTGGCTCGACTCTGCACTTCTTTAGGAATCTAAGCTCTGATACACTAACATCCGACCCATGGATGTGGAGATGACATCCAAGGATCATCCACGCATGAAAACACTAACAAAATTCTAGAGCAATCGTATTCGATAATCCTTTTTTTCATGTCACTGCAATGTTTTATTTAGTGGTTTAGTTATTTGTTTTCAATGTCATATCTAAAATTGCCTCGTCTACTTATTTCTGCAGCTCCAAAATTATCATTTTCTTTAGCCAAAGTTTACTATAGTAAAATTGTAACACCCTAGACCAATACGACACACGGTCGACCGATGTAGGATGCCACACAGAACTATCGAATGGCTTACCAGCACCTTACTTACTCTTCTTTGTACTATAAAATGACCATTTCCGCAAATAAAACATCCACGAAATAATATAATTTAAAACTTTATACCAGAGAGCTTCCAAAATAAATATTTACAATCAAAATATTACAGACCGGCTCAACTGATACAACATGGTTTATAAGATATACATGCTCTTCAAAAATTGTTGAGACGTACTCTGAATTTGCACTGAGTCTAAACCTTGATCTATCCACCGCTCCTTGAACTCTCGATCTACTTACCTTTACACAGAAAACAATCTGAAGGTTAGCTCAACAACACACTAACAACTAAAACATACTAAAAGTTTATCACTGAAATGCTCAAGCTATCAAGTTTACTGCTATTTGATCTACTGTTATTGGTCTACTGATCTCTTCTGTTCTGCTTTGCTTTAGTGAGTATACTCTCTACTCTATGGTAGACATCATGGTGCAGCTGAGAGTTTTGTATCTCGGAACTCACACCCCCTCTAGTCTACTGAGAATATAACCCCCAAAATCTCTGCATCGGACACCACACTCTCGACTAGCCCACTCCTTGAGTGTCGGACCTTGCACCCAAACTAGTCAGCTTAAAGTGTCTTGTGCACTCTCTAAGATATCCGGACTGAATCTATACTTTCGACTTTGATATATTTTCCAAAGGAACTCAGGTGTCCTAGTCATTTTTCCGAATATTCAAACAAGGTTGGTCTTATTTTACCCTACTTTATTCTCGTTTCTAAGTTTAAAGTTAAATATTAATAAATGTTCTCACTTGTAATCTTATTTGAAAGAAATTATAAGTTTTTGGAAAACCCCACTTACCTCTATATTTTCTCTTAATTGAAAGCCTATTTTCAATCTTAGTATCGATATGACCTTACAATATCGATACCCTTGCTTGCCTACACTTACTCATGCTTTAAAACTCAAATCATACCCTTAGTATCGATATTGGCCTTACAATATCAATATCCTCTCTGCAGTATCAATACTCTATCTAAGGTATCGATACCCCTACAACTATTTCATCTATTTTAACCCAACTTTAACACCTTTTATAGCACTTATTCTAGTATTTTACACCTATTATCCCATTTATGGTCATACTATGGGTCTAGGGTCTCTCGGGTAACATTTTTTGCTAGAACAGACTGAAAGTATTGATACTAACCCAAAAGTATCGGGATCCCATTTATGGTCATACAATTATTCTCAATGTGCTTCACTGCCGCCATCAAAACCAATGATGTCGGGATCGGTTCACTCGCCGTATCAACCACGTTCGCCATTTCCACCCACCAACGAAGAAAGATCACTTCTTTATGCACCGATGAAAAAACACCAAACTTTATTAAATAAAAATAATTAATTCTTTACAATTAAGGGGAGAAATGGAAGAGAATTGAACTTGGGATTAATCTTTTACCTTGATTAATCAATGGGTTTTGCTTGAAACTGAAATAGAAGATTGAGAAAGATAAATTTGGGGATTTTTTTAGTTTAGGGTATTGAAACTGAGAGAGAACTATGAGGAAATAAATGACAGGTATTAAAACTTTCGTACGTAAAGATTGTTTTATAATTTTTAATAGTTAAAATAATTTAATAAAGTAAATATGCTAAAATTGATTGTCCAATCGATTTTAATATTGTATTAATTAATCATGATCGACCCACAATGAATATCTATTTTTGGTGAGCGAATTTTTAAGTAAGAGTTTTCTACATACACAGAGACTCGAACTCAAAATTTTATTTAATTGATATTAGACTGTTTATCATTTGAACCAACCTGTTTTAATACTATCTTTCTTGTTTTGTTATTACTTTTGAAAGAATTTATCAACTTAGTATCTCACACCGAAAAATATTTTACTAATAATTGATTAATAAAGATGATTAATGTCTATGTTATTTTTAGTAATCAAATTCATCAATTGATTTTTCGGATTAAATCATTTTAAGTTCGCATTTGGGTTATTTGTTCGGATGATGTTACATTAGGGCCACCGGAGCGACACATAGTAAAAATCCGAAAAAAATTTAAAATTTCTGTTAAAACACGTAAAGTCATAAACAATTTATAATTAAAATACAAATTCAAAAAACTATTTATACTTAATATAAAAATCAAATGTGACTTACACATCTCCTCTTCTGAGTTTTTCAATCGCATCTCTTACAATCCCCTCTCACTTTCTTTGTCTTCAATTCACAGGAAGAAGGGCGGAATGTTTTACGTATGAAACTAAATCAATGGGATTTCTTTTTCCCCGATGATGATGCCAAGGTGACGAGAATGGTTTCCTTGGTTAACGTTGGAGACATCAAATGGGGAGTCAGCCTTTTCTTCCTGTTTCTTCCTGCAATGGGTTGGTTTTGTTCAAGTATTGTTCTCATCTGTCAGATGAATTCTACGTCGGAAATCCCATCACCGGAGAATTAGTAACCGGAAAACATCTCGGCTGGAACGTTGGTCTCTGTGGATTCCTAACCGAAAAACTTCTTGGCCGGGACGGTAGTCTCTGTGGATTCTTTTATAACTCTTCCACATCATAGTACACGCTGATGTATCATCACTGGACAGATATACAGCAACCGATCCCATTGAATATGTTGGGGAAACCGGGTTATTTCCCACACGAACGTAGTTTTAAAATTAACCTAAAATGTCAATATTAAAACCACCAAAGGTTGCATAGCGGATAAACCTATCAAACTATTGAATATTGAAACACAATGGAAAAGAACCGAGTAAAAAACAATAAAGGAGATAACACACCAAATTTACGAGGTTCGACGAGAATATCGTCTACTCCTCGGGCACCACACCGGATGATAACTTCACTATATCACCAATATTACAACAAATGGAATTCTTTAGAATTCCAAAGTGGGAGAATGAAGAATACAAGAGGAAGAGAGAACCTATTTTTGGGATGATTTCTAATGGAAATACTTAGGCCTATTTATAGTTGAGTTTCAAGAACAATATGTTCAAAGTTTGGCCACCTACCAAAGAATTTTCCAATGTATACAAGTTAGCCACCAAATATGAAATTCACATGTTCAAAGTTTGGCCACCAACCAAGATGAAATTTCCAATAAGTTGGCCACCAACCAAGATGAAATTTCCAACTTGTCAACTTAATTTCTAGACAAATCTAACAAATCTCCACCTTGGCTTGAAATTACCAAGCCTACTCAACTTCTTCAACTCCCCAAATTTGTAGTGCCTCTAATTACGCTCACAAGCGCCACACACCCGAAGGTGTTCATACTTTCAGGATGTTAATCAAGTTCAAACAATGATTGAACTTGATTACTGTTACCACCTTGGTCATCATATCTGTGATTTTCTGATGTCGCAATTTTCTAAAGTAGAATCTTTCCTTCTTCAAAGATCTCCCGCACAAAGTGATACCTCACGTCGATATGCTTAGTCATTGAATGGTATACTTGATTTTTTCGCTAAGTGAATAGCGCTCTGACTGTCACAATAGAGACTAATGTGACTTTGAGCAACTCCAAAGTTTCCATCAACCCGTTAAGCCAAATTACTTCCTTTACAGCCTCTGAAACTGCCATTTATTCTGCCTCTGTAGTAGACAAGGCCACCGTAGATTGCAATGTAGACTTCCAACTTACTGGGCTTTAGCAAGAGTAAACAAATACCCAGTAGTTGATCGACGCTTATCCAAATCACCAGCATAATCGGAATCAACATATCCAACCATACATTAACCAAGTGCTTCATCCTGTTCAAAAACTAAACCAACATCCACGGTTTGTTGGAGATACCGTAGAATCCATTTCACAGCTTGCCAATGTCCTTCTCCAGGATCATGCATGTACCTGCTCACAACTTCAACTGCTTGTGAAATGTCAGGATGCGTACACACCATTGCATACATCAAGCTCCCAACTGCATTAGCATATGGAACTTTTACCATATACACTCGTTCTTCGTTAGTTTTAGGAGATAATTGAGAAATAAGTTTTAAATGAGAAGCCAATGGGATACTTACATGTTTGGTATTTTTATTCATGCCAAAACATTGTAATACCTTTCTCAGATACTGCTTATGTGTTAAACAAAGCTTCCCTCTCTGTCTATCTCTACTTATCTCCATACCAAGAATCTTCTTGGCCTCACCTAGATCTTTCATCTCAAACTCTTGATTCAACTGAGCCTTTAATTTGTCTATCTCCTTTTGACTCTTCGAAGCGATCAACATATCGTCAACGTACAAGAGAAGATAAATGAAAGATCTATATTTGAGCTTTTGCAAATACACACAATGATCATATTTGCTTCTAGTATACTTTTTCCTCCTCATAAAGCTATCAAATCGCTTGTACCACTGTATCGGAGATTGCTTCAATCCATATAGCGATTTGTTCAGCTTACAAATCCATTTCTCATAACCACCATCTTTGTATCCTTCTGGCTGTGTCATATAGATCTCCTCTTCTAAATCATCGTGCAAGAAAGCCGTCTTTACATCAAGTTGAGCTAGCTCCAAATTCAACTGTGCTACCAAGGCCAATAATATTTTAATGGAGGAATGCTTCACAGCAAGGGAAAATACTTCATTGTAGTCGATTCCCTCCTTTTGA